CTACTAACTGCCTTCTCGTGGCGGGTGTTTTCTCACCAAAGTGAGAGGACGAAAAAGTCAACATCCGGGGCTGCAACCGGGTAGGTGAACCATTGGCAATTCACCTAGGCGAGATTGGTAAAAGCCTTGATTCCGAACTAACAAAGAAGAGGCGTATAACCCACATACAGGTTCCTGGTTGACACTGGACACTAGCTAGCTTGATCATTGAGGTGCATTGGGCACCTTGGACGTCTCCCTCCACCCCAAACCCCTCTCTCTTTCTGAAAGGCGTGCGGTCCGGTGAACTGGATGGAGATAGGGCCTCCAACAGACTGTTTTTTACATACCAACACGCAGCCTTGCGGGTCAGGCTTTGGCAAACCGAAGGCTCCTGATGTGAATTCCTCAAGAAAATTCCCCTGCTTTGGTTTTAGCAACCGCTAGTAGTATCGCATCCACAAGCAAATTATGATTTTTGGCTTTTTATAACGATTATTGTACCGTGATCTGTTCGGCGAACAACAGTTTGGGCTCATACGTGATAGTTATTTTTATACGTGTATTACCAATGTGAATTACGTAACTTAAATCATACTTGCAGTTCGGGAAGTTGATTAGAGACAAACAAGTCTTGAAGAATCACTACGATGATTCTGTGTTAGGTGTTGTAGACTAGATTCGTCTCAACTCATGCAACTGGACGTTAGGGCCGATTTTCAATATTTCAATAATGATCAACATACAAATGACTGAATGAAATTCCCCCTGACAAGCGGCAAGGACCACGAAACCGGTTGCGCGGTTTTCAGAAATTTTGTGGCAATGAGAGAGAGCACAATTCAAGCACGACGACCGGGGTATGCGGCGCTGACAAAATAAACACACGTGTCAAGTAGGGGATCGAATATTCCGCAATGATATAAACAAAACACTGGGCATTTTCGAGGAATGAATAATCGGATAACGCTCGGTCTGGCTGATGAAGTAGTTCAACACCCTAATCCGACCTCGTGGATCGAGAGCCGGCTTATCACATGCAGACGGTCGTACGGTCAGGACAAATGTGATAACCACTCCACCACAAACACATCTTAACAAAGTAGCTCACTGGTATGGAATAGGGATGGTGTTACCAATTGTTTAGACGTACAAGTTAATCATAGTCTGATGCAACTACAGATGTGCGAGTTATTTTAACGAATGGATAAAATATTCTGTATTTTTATTAGACATATCATTCGCGATGAAAAGGTGTGCAAATCATGGTCACACTAATTCGTTGTTCAGTTTGGGGATCTGGTGAGCTGAACAATAAGGTCTGGCAGGGCGAACTACTTTCTAAGGGCGACATAATGATGGGAAACTATGCTGCATGACCGTTTTAGTGTTTTGATGTGATATGTGATGCTTATTTTGCTCTGAATGTAATTTGCGGTTTTTTTCATTACACACTTTCGTGTGATGAACAGCAGACGGGGTAAACCCCATAGTCAAGAGGATCTGCTGTTCAGTGATGGGAACCGGTATCCTAAACCCCGGGACTTGGAGTAGTGAACCACATAAGGCCCCGATAGTTTAGGTGTGGTATTGAACCCGGACGACAGCAAAGCTGCCTACCACAAAAGCTAAGAGAAAGCATAAAATGGTGCAATAAAACGACTAGATATCCTCGGGTTAAGAAGAGCTGAATGCTACCAGGCGCGTCCCCGGGTTGTGGATAGGGAGATATCTGCACTGAAGAAGGTTACTTGTGAATAAGTTGTGGTATAGCGCAACAAATAAGCAGTCGCGAACAAACGGCGGCGGGACTAGCAGGGTATGGTGGGTTTCAGACTGGGCACCTGGCTCCTGCTTAAAAGCCGCATAAGCAATGACAGTGTCGTGATAAAGGTCGATGCGACTGGCCTTTTAAAACTAGTCATCCCAAGACTGCCTTGCAGCTCGAACTTGGTTGTGCAAAGACTAGAGGTGTGCCCTCAAAATAAAAAACGCCGAGTGACGCTGGGGACGTCTGTCGTACCAAACTCCCAAGTAATTTCATGATCATGGAGCCGGCCTATCCTTTCCAAGGAGCCAGTCATAGTAAAGTAAAGTAAGTTATTAGGGTATGAGAAATTCCGAGTAGATAGCTCTGAATATAGTAGAACAGCTTTTCCACTCACAGTCTGCTGTTTCCCATGGAAGTTAAAGCACTCTACATATGATCCCGGATTCCGAGGACCTTACTGGTGTGAAACGGCAGCAAATGCATTCAAACCGCGCCTAAGGCCAATCTTCGAATAACCTAATCGGAAGAAACCTTGAATTTTCGAGTATAAAAATTTCAATCCTATGCTCCTGTGTGGGGGTACAACCAAACGACAAATAATGCTAACAAACAAGTGTGGTAATACGATCTGAGAATCAGCGATTCAGCAAATGAATTCCGAAAGAAAGTTTTTCTGCAGAACAGTAGCATATGGATTCGTTATGCTCAGTCGTAGAAATGAAACGCAGCGAACGTACCGTGGTAAAATGACCCACGAGTAAAGACTCAAGGGAGATGGTCCGTTTGTCCATCGGGTGATCAGAAGCGGGAGAATGGCTTGAAATGGAAGTAGGACAACTCCTAAGAATGCCATTCGCTCTTTGGACACGCCCAGTTCAATAAGCTTGAAGGCGGTGATCGAATCGGCGGCGGCGAAACACGTCTGTGGGAATGGAGGTCGAAAGAAATATACAGATAGCATGAAGATAGGACTAGGGAAAAACTATTGTCTCAGGGCATACTATCCCTTGAGTCCTGATCAGCATTATTTTTTGATGACTGCGGTAAACCGACCCTTGTAGATTCATACGAGGTACACAAACAAACACACACATATACAAAGGTTAGACAAGTAATGCACGCGGCAGACACCACCAAAATTATCCTGTTTTTAAAGTTCTTGGTTGATCAGGAGCAGTGAGCATTGCACTTTGTCCGGCTTAAACGCATTTCAAACCTTGATCTGGGTGAAATTTTTGGCGGATTCGCTATTTTTCTCGTCGTACATATATATATATATCTTTACAGACATAGCACCAAAATAACCATGATTTGAAAGGGAATTACAGAAACACAGCAAGGAGAAAAAAAACCAGTCAATTACATGGATGACAACTTTTTTGCTTGTTCACTGCAAAAAAATTTGAGTCTTTCGTTTATCTGTTTTTATTCTTCGGAATGAACACAGAAAAGGGTGCATACACGCAGTTGACTTCGGTTCGACGCCATATGCCGCAAGGTCTCCAGACAAAGAAAATCGGAATCTTTAGGGCTCCAGCGGGGAAGCCCCGACGGAAGCCAAATCCGAACACAATCTCTTCAAACCTCTACGACACGTCATAGCCTGTCCACCTCGTTGTTTCATTCAGCCCGGACTAACGTCTGCAAATAGCGCACGATACTGAAACGCGACAAGGCATCTGGATCAGACAATCTGACACTTGTCCTCTTCAAAGATGATGATCGAGAAGCTCTCATGACGTAGCTTGCCAGGCTACGGAGACGATCTGTATAGTTGAGTGATTGCGATTTCATCTATTTTGAGTGGGGCAATATACTAAATTGGCAAAGCATTTCAGGTCACAATGCACCATCAAACAGGCGAGTGAAAAACATCTGACGGGTAATAGGAACGCCACAAGTGGAAAAAAGATAGAAAAATTCCATTTACTAACCAAATAGAGATCACTTCCTTAGAACGTTTGACCTTTGAGTTAATTTGCAAAGTCATCAATGGTCGATCCGAAAATTGTATACAAGCAGATGAGTTTATTGCCCTCAACTATTTTGAGTTGATCTCAACAGGACCTACTCGAAGATTCATCTTCCTTCTTCCCTCGGGGTCGGTTTGTTCCCGAGAATCGTACTTCGTTGAGGGTCACGTTGACTGAGCTCATACACTAGGATAGTATCTTACGCGTGTACTCGGTCGGCAATCGTATCCGTCGTGGGCTATCGTTCGCTCCGTTGGGTCACGACAAAAACAGGCCGCTAGTTTGCATTGTTACACCATCAACAAAACCCAGAACTATGATTTGGAGGCGAATAAAACGATGAAGATGAACTGGTGGAGGAGGACAAACCGCGNNNNCTCCCCCTCCCCTTATTATCATTAGCGCCGAGGAACCATCAAATCGACAGCGGTGCTGAACAAGTTTACACGGCTTACACGGATGATGTACTATGTGCTGGTGTTGTGGATGGATTGAACCAGTGAGATCCCAATCCAAATTGAAATAAGAATTGGTCAACGACGATTACGTGAGAAGGACGGAATTAAAAGAATGAAAATGAGAAGCCGCCTGATCAGACGGAAAAGAAAAGATCTCGTTTTCACGTTGCGCAAATGTAGATAAGTACTGCAGCTATAAACAAAGGAATTGTAAACTAGCCGATCGATGCACATTTACTATACAGGTTGCTACTATAAATAGTAGCATGCAAGTTGAGGAAGGATGCTAAGTGTTGGAATGTGAAAGACTGGTCTGTCCAACCTACGCGCAGACTGAGCGACAAAAGGATTGTATTTAAGACCAAAAACAGAAGATGAACAGGAAATTAAAAATCTAAACCCATTCAATGAGGATAAAAATAACTATTTTTGGGGCATCAAAACGAGAGCATTTGAGATCGTCTATGGCGAAAATCAACAGATCAACAAGTACTGAGGTTGGATTGGAAATGTTCTAAAGCATGCCGAAGATACACAAGAATGCTGAGGTGATAGATGCAAGTGTTAGACATGTATACTATTACACGAAACGCTGGTGTCATATTCCCTTAAAAAATAGTCGGTTCATATTTTTATTGAATGGTTTGAGAGAGAGAGAGAAACAGAAGCCTCTAGCGGAGCTACCTATAGCTCCGTATTGGGAACATGCAGTTCAAGTCTCAAGAATCAGGATGGTAAAGCATTTAAAGATTCTGTACCGACTACCTGTCTCTTGTTTCATAAAAGCAATAAGCGTAGATAAACAAAGATGGAATACTATACATATATATATATATATATATATATATATATATATATATGGCATACATTCTTTTCTGATATGTCGTAATGGCTACTTGATCATTCTTCCAGTCATTATCATCATCGTACAGCAAAATACGATGAACGACTAACCTCATTGATCGCAGCCAACCCCATAGAATTCACCTTCATACGTTCTCTTCTCTCAACCACTCGGAGATCACTAGACTTCAATTATCCTGTTAG